ACACACACACACACACACACACACACACACACACACACACACACACACACACACACACACACACACACACACACACACACACACACACACCTCCTGCCCTTTTAGGGGGTTATGGTTAGAGATTAGCAGATTTAGGTTTTGCAGATTTTACTGTCTCTCCTCAGTTTAGAGTTCTGTGATGAGCTAAGTTATTCAGCATTGAAAGGTCCAGTGTGTAAGATTTAGGTGAAAGGGATCTATTGGCAGAAATTGAATATAAAATAATCCTATAAATGTTTTCACTAGTGTGTTTCATCTAAATTGCACAAATTGTTGTTTTCTTTACTTTAGACTGAGCCATTTATATTTACATACTTTCCGGTTACTTCATGACCTCGATATGGAGGGTGCCATGTTTTTTACAGTAGTCCAGACTGGACAGACTAAACATCTTTTGAGTTTTTAAGTCAACTGAAGGTTTCCCCAGGTTCTCTTTCATGTTCGGAAGGGGAGGGGTGTACAGCTGCAAAATGAAACTTCACCACTAGATGTCACTAAATCCTTCGCACTGAACCTTTAACCTGCTGTGTGTATTTTAATATGACTATTACAACATACGAGAACATTTAGTAAAACTACAGCTTCATTTTGATTCTCATCTGATCACACTCAGATACTTCAATATCATGTTTTATTAGACCCTGACCCTGTGTAACATGATAACTTTGTTTTCTCACCACACACTGGTCACAGTCTCGTCCAATCACCAGACGTTTACAGAAACAAGTTCCTGTTTCACTGTCACAGGGATTTCCTCCTGGAACTGTTCCCACAGGGCTACAAGTACATGCTACAACAAGAAGTACACACAGTACATATAAGCACTAATACTACTGATAATACACACATTGAATATACACACTATACACTATAATAATAACAAACCATTGCGTTATAGTGTGTGTTTTTCTGAATCTATGTGTGCATGTTTGTTTTGTGAGGCTGTGTCCAGGTGTTGTGCGTCACTTCGTACCTGAACATCCTTCAGATGTGTCACTCAGTCCGTAGTGAGCCTGTTTGCAGCGCTCGCAGCGTTCTCCCTCCACATTGACTTTACAGCGACACTGACCAGCAATCAGACCGGTTCTAACATCCGTCTTCTGGTCACATGATCCTCCATTCAAAGAACCCAGAGGGTCACAGCTACAAGCTACAGAGACACACACAGGACACATTGGTTTGTATTAGCAATTGATTGATAATCAGATTCTGATATACTGTCAGTTTTTTATTTTCGTGAAAAGAAAATTTCTGTATTTAAAAATGTGGTTTGAATTCTATATAATAATGGATTATAGGAGGATCACAGATTTAAAACACAACCCCTCACACTGATCACATATCAGATGGTCAGGGACGCAGAGTCAGCGATCAGGGGTTAGGGACTCTGGGTCCAAGGTCAGAGGTTTCGGACTCACGCTGGCAGATGTTGGGGTCCCTCACATCTCTCTCTGGATGTTGGTAGTAGAACGGTTTACACTGCTCACAGTTGTGTCCTGCTGTGTTGTGCTGACAGTCGTCACAGACACCCCCGCTGACATTTCCTGAAGCCACGAATACGGCCATGTCGAAGTGGCATGAGTCAGAGTGCTGGTTACAGTTACACTCTACATACACCACAGAAGAAGAAGAGATTGAGTCAGATTGATGCTGATATGTTGGATCACTGAAAAACCAAAAAGTTACAAGCAGCTGTTGCACACTGTAAGCATTGACAAATAAATCTAGCTTATAAACCTTCATTTTATTTCTCGACTGTTTTAGGGGCTAACAAGTTATTTATGGTCAAAAACAGTATTTGATAAACGTTTGAACTAGTCAACCAAACCACTAGAGACCAGCAAAGACTTTTAGAAACTATTAGAAATTATAGACCAGTAAAGACTCACTCTTGCAGGCGTTTGTGTTACGGCCCTCTGCTGGTTTCCAGGGAAAATCATGATAGAAATCCTGACACTGTTCACAGTTCAGACCTTTAGTGTTGTGGTTGCACCTGCAGTGACCATGAACCTGCAGACAGGAAGTGACACGAACAACGAAAAACAGGAGATGATTATCATATAATCATCAACGTCTGGTTCTCCTTTCATTCATGTATTGTTAGCATCTCATTAATGCCATGTTAATGTTTAATTAAATGTTCCATTAAGACTAAACAACTAAAAACCTCCAGCCTGTTGATCCTGGCTCTAGACAAACCCTGAACTTCTGAGTTGACCTTATGACCTCTACAGGACTCACCATGCCATCCCGGGTCTGTCCATCACTGTGGATGGGGGCACATTCAGAGGCGTGTCCATAGCAGAAGCAGTTTCCTCGGACAACCATGTCGTAGATGGCGTAGTAATACTTCTCTTTGATCTCCATACGAGAGTCGAGTAAATTGTCTCCAAGTGTGTGCAGTTTGGTGAACTTCACTCGTAGGTTAGTGATCTTTAACATATCTGAAAATAATGATCAGTAACTGGTCAACGAGTGATCAATAAGATCAATAACTGATTCATAACAGATGGATATCTGATCAATAAACCAGGCAGATCACTTATTGTCTTGAGAGGAGACATACTTTGGATTCTAGGGCTGTAAGGGTCGTTGATCCTGAACGCCGGATCCAGAACTCTGAAAATCACCTAAAGATAAAAAATAGATGTGGAACAAATATTCATCAACATTGACATTAATACTGATAGCACTGGGGTAAGTGTAATAGAGTACTGAGGTAGGAGTAATAGAATACTGCAGTATGAGTAATAAAGTACTGAGGTAGGAGTAATAGAATACTGCAGTATAAGTAATACAGTAATGAAGTGGGAGTAATAGAGAACTGAGCTACCTCTCCCTCAGTGGACGGCTCAATGTCAGAGTAACGTGAGTCACAGATGACATCATCAACCTTCTGCATTGGACCCTGGGAAATGGCGGGAAAAGATGTTTCGCAATCATAAGCGAAGTAACGATAAACCTGCCACGTCTTCCCAAAGTCCGCTGATCGCTCAATCACCATGGCAGCAGGACGAAATGTCTATGGAGAGAAAAAACAAATTGAACATTTACATAAATGTAAATGAATAAATAAAAAAAATGATTGTTTATGCATCAATCATGACATCCACATACTTTGCTTTTAAAACATGCATCCGAGCTGCAGCCAGTTGGCAAGCTCATACTGTAAAAATTAGGTGTTGCCGTGGTGATAAACAGATGACGAATTTGTATGTGACTGTGAAAGAAAGTTCCAGGTGTCCTCCAGGTGTTGTGTTTTTTATTCACTATATAAATATTCCTACTACAGCTTTGCAGATGACACCCAACTAATCCTCTTTTTTCCCCAATCTGAAACACAGGTAGCAGCACGAATCTCTGCCTGTCTGACTGACATCTCAGTGGATGTCTGCACACCACCTGAAAATGAATCTTGACAAGACTGAACCACTTTTCCTTCCAGGCAAAGTCCCCCCCCCCCCCATGACCTGACTATTACCTTTGACAACTCTGTGGTAGCTCCCTCCCAGACTGCTAGGAACCTAGGTGTGTAACTCAACAGTCAACTCCCTTCCTGCCAAAATTACTGCAACAACCCGCTGGTGTAGATACACGCTGCACAACATCAGGACTACAGGAAGAGACAGGGAGTAGAACACGCCCCCCTCACCATCAACGGGACTATGGTGGAGAAAGTCAGCAGCTTCAGGTTCCTCAGGGTTCACATCAGTGATGACCTGACCTGGACTCACCACACAGACTCCATCACAAAGACAGCCACACAGTTCTTCTTCCTCCGTAGGCTGCAGAGGCTCATCATGGATCCCAGGACTTTTACAGGTGCACCATTAAGAGTATCCTGACTGGCTGAATCACCGCCTGGTATGGCAGCTGCACCGCCCTGAACCATAAGGCTCTACAGAGGGTGGTAAAGTCTGCTCCGCACATTACCAGGACGGAGCTGCCATCCATGGAGAACCTCTACACTCAGCGGTGTAGGAAGAACAGCAACCGGATCATTAAAGACCCCGGTACCGCATCATCTGTGCCCACAGCACCAGGCTCAGAGACAGTTTCATCCCCCAGGCCATGAGACCTTGAATCTTGAATCAGGAGAATATGTCTTGAACTTACCTAAATTCACTCACACTACTCCCCTGCCTTCACTGGTTACAAGCGGCTGCCTGTATCCATTTCAAAGCACTAGTACTTGTACCATGCTGTGAACAGATCAGGTCCAGTCTATATCCATGACATGGTCAAACCTTACTACCCAGCCCATCCACTCCACTCAACAGAATAACGACTGTTTTCTGTCCTGGCTCCTAAATGGTGGAACGAGCTCCACATTGACACCAGGATAGAAAGTCTCCATGTCTTCCACCACAGACTAAAGACACATGTCTTCAGACTACACCTTGGTGAAGAAGATGATGTCGTTGTCAACTCTGGTGTTTATATTAAAAAAAGTTTACTAGCACTTGTAGCACATGTAGGACTTTGTAGCTGGGCTTTTATACAACTCACATAATTCTTGTTGTCCTGGGTTTGTTCCCTCACAGTTAGTGCACCTATTTTAAGTCACTTTGGATAAAAGCATCAGCTAAATGATGTGTAAAATTCATTCACACAAACATGTTGGGGGTGATGAAGTATTATTAATAAATGTAACAATCAATGATTAATCAGATAAATAAATCAGAAACCGTTGGACAGGATTTTACTTTAAAAGTTAACTGACACGTTCTTTAAAAACCCTTGTATTGTGCACAGTTACCCAGAATCCCCTGCTGTGTGTAGACACTAACCTTGAAGGTCATGATGAGATGAGTGAAGTGAAACTCCGCCTCCAGATTCAGCTGAACGGTGACGTTCTCCTGACCTGCAGCAGAACCACAAACGTTACTGATGATGGACCCGACTCAAATACAACAGGCTCCTGTGTTCAGTCCAGGTGTTTTCAGCTGTTGCTCCTATATAATTCGAAATGATCTGATCCCTGATTTGACCGCCTCCTTGTTTTAATAAAAAGGCTTGATAACTGAAACGAGTCATCCATCTCCCAGGAGGCACCAGCCTCACAGTTTAAGAACCAAAAAATCTCCTCCTGAGCTCCAGGAGAAGTGAGGACACAGCAGATATAGTATAGTACAATACATCCAATCTTTGACCTTTGACCCCTAACCTCTTCTGTTTCTCACCATTTTCAGACTGCCACCATGTCTTCAGTCTGTTTGGAGCAAACGTAGTCACGACATTCTCGATGCGATGGTTGTGTGTCTGATCCATCAACTCGTCGTAGAGTGCCGCTGAGTCGCAGACAAAACACTTCTTCTCCTCCTGATGAGTCAGAGAGAGAGAGAGAGAGAGAGAGAGAGAGAGACAGACAGAGATCATTGTTGAATTTTAACAACACAAAAAAAGTTCCAGGCAAACAGAGCTTCACTTTTGTATCAAGCTGAACTGACAAAGTCTTCTACCAACATGTCGATACCTTGCTGCTTATACACGAGGTTAAACTCTGCATATGCTGATCATTTTAAACACACTCCAGAGTTTTTATGGAGCTCAATACGCATTTGGTGACAGTCTAAAGATATTGTTGCCACAGTTGACTTATTTGGACTTTTCCAATATCCCACCAGTGTTGGTTAGGGTAACCTTACATCCACGGTCACTGCAGCTTTATTAGGGACATTAACTGGCTGTGTGCATTACTTATGAAGGGGGGGGCCTTAGACAAAGTTATCTTTTTGGCTGAACTAACCAGCAGCATTACCTGAAAAAAACTGTTCTTAATCTCAACACCTCGCTCAACAACCATGTTGACTTTCTCCCTTATACATTCTAGAGGCTAAACTAAGTTGCAGTGTTCCACAGAGCAGTTTACACTTAAAAAATAAGAAGTGCACCACAACTTTCACTGTCTTCCACTCCCAGCATGCACTCAGACAGAGAGAGAGGGACAGACAGGGTGGGGGTGGGGGGCAGTGAAGGGATAAGGAGGAGGTGAATTCTTAAAATTCCACTGCTGCTGTGGACATTAGTGGATTTTTGAGGACATTAAGGTTCTTAATCTTAACATTATCCATGATGTGACAAACTGTTTCTTCTAATGTAGTGAATCAGTTGTTGTGTTGATGTCTTCAGTTCAYCAGCATCTATTGTCCTCGTGTCCTGGAGACGGATCCTCACATGTGACTCTGAGCTTCAGTTACTGCTCAGAAAGTGTCTCTGTAGTTTGACTCTAGTTGAGTGAAGGACAGAGGACGTTGCTGCTTGTTGACATCGATGAGACAAACTGGGATTTGTGAATATGAGACAACTTGAATGATTGATAGTGGACATATCTGGACGTCAGTGGATGTTTGTGGAACCTATGAACAAGTTATTTTAACATAAATCTTTGTTGATATATTTATGTTCCTGCAAAAATCTTCATGTGGATCCAGCTTCAGTGTGTGCTTTCCTCACAGGAACATCTGGACAAACATCTGAATGCTGTTACAGCACAGTGTTTCCTTATAAGGATTTTTTTAACACAGGAAGTTCTGCAGACACACGCACACACGCACACACACACACACACACACACACACTTAAAACTGAATAATGAAGGATCTGTAAACACCAACAGTTTAATCTGGCTTACATTTATATACATGCTACTATTATACTTAATTTACACCAAAATCCCCTGACACAGATTTTGTACTACAACTACCTGTTGCGACTGTATTTAATCATTAATATCAACTCTAACTCGTGCAAGGGTCTGTACAACGAAGTGAGTTCGATATCCAGGATATCTGTCAGTTATCCAGCTGAACTTAACCTAACAATCACAGTCAGGCTAAGTGGTCACATGACTCTGGTTATCATCTCGTTAACTCAGTTTTATCCCCATCAAGATCTGAGCGTGTGCACATGACCTGTTCTATAATAAAAATCAGAGGAGAACAAACACACGATCCAGACTAAAGAAAAGAGAAAGGTATTCTGGGTATGTTGAACTTGCTTTGTTGTACAGGCCCCGGGTGTTTGCTTAGCTGTACGTTTGTGTTGTTCATATGTTTCACCTGCAGGTGGCTGACGATGCAGAATGGTTCGGGTCGCTTCAGACCACAAGTAGAGGTGGAAGACAGTTGGTGAGCTCGGCCAATCAGAAGGTCTCCTGTTGCTGGGTAACAGCTGCCTTCAGTGCAAATGTCACTGAGCTCCGGGAGGCTGACAGCATCCAGGTCTCCACCTACAGGGGCCACGCCCTCTTGAGCACAGGTGTACACCTGCAGAACTGAGAGCAGAGACCCTTTAGACAGAAGAAAGACAGATAGATAGAGAGAGACAGGGAGACAGATAGATAGAGAGAGACAGGAAGA